ATCAAAATTAAGCTTTTACTCTTCAAAAGACATCATTTAGAAAATGAAAAAGTAGGAAGCAGAACTAGATGGAGTAAAAAAAGAGAAAAAAAGAAAATGGAAGAGACAGGTAATAGGATGGGAGAAAGTATCTGCAAATCATACATCTGAAAAAATTATTCAAACTATATGAAAAATTCTCTCTTAGAACTCAATAAGGCACAAAATGCAATTTTTAAAAACAAAGTATTTGAACAGACATTTCACCACGAAAAATAAATGTATGAATAGCAAATAGGCACAAGGAAAGATCATTAATTACATTAATGATTAATGACACTCATCATTAGGGAATGCAAATTAAAACCACAAGATACTACACTTCACACTCACTAGAATGATTATAACTGCAACCCTTACATAATGCCAGTAGGCATGTAAAGCAGTAGAGCCACCTTGGAAAACAGTTTATTTCTTAAAATGTTAAACATGGCTGAGCGCGTTGGCTCACGCCTGTAATCCCAGCACTTTGGGAGGCCAAGGCAGGCAGATCACAAGGTCAGGAGATCGAGACAATCCTGGCTAACACAGTGAAACCCCCAACTCTACTAAAAACACAAAAAATTAGCCAGGCATGGTGGCGAGCGCCTGTAGTCCCAGCTACTCGGGAGGCTGAGAGGCAAGAGAATGGCATGAACCCGGGAGGTGGAGCTTGAAGTGAGCTGAGATCGCAACACTGCACTCCAGCCTGGGCGACAGAGCAAGACTCCGTCTCCAAAAAAAAAAAAAAAAAAAAAAGTTAAACATACACTTACCATGTGACCCAGCAATCCCATTCCTAGATATCTATACAAGAGAAATGAAAACACATGGCCATATTAAGCCCTGGACATGAATGGTCACAGCAGCATACTGTGTAGTAGCCCAAAATTAGAAACAACCCAATGTCCATCAACTTATAAATGAATGGGTAAACAAAATGTGGCATATCCATACAATGGAAAATCATTATTCAGCAAATATAAGAGAACACACTACTGATGCATGATACAATATGGATGAACCTCAACCATTAAGCTAAGAGAAAGAACCAGGCAACAAAAGACTACATATTGTATAATTCGAATTGTACGAAATTGCTAGAAAAGGCAAAACTATTGAGACAGAAGATCAGTAGTCACTTGGGAACGGGAATCAACTATAAATGAACACAGGGGAATATTTTAGGTGATGATATGTTCTAAAACTGGGATTGTGGTAATGACTACATAGTTGTACACATTTAGTAAAACTCAAATAATGGTACACTTTAAAATGGATGAGTTGGGCCGGGCATGGTGGCTCACGTCTGTAACCCCAGTAATTTGGGAGGCCAAGGTGGGTGGATCACCTGAGGTTGGGAGTTCCAGATCAGCCTGACCAACATGGAGAAATCCCACCTCTACTAAAAATACAAAATTAGGCCGGGCGCGGTGGCTCAAGCCTGTAATCCCAGCACTTTGGGAGGCCGAGACGGGCGGATCACGAGGTCAGGAGATCGTAGACCATCCTGGCTAACACGGTGAAACCTCGTCTCTACTAAAAAATACAAAAAACTAGCCGGGCGTGGTGGCGGGCGCCTGTAGTCCCAGCTACTTGGGAGGCTGAGGCAGGAGAATGGCGTGAACCCGGGAGGCGGAGCTTGCAGTGAGCTGAGATCCGGCCACTGCACTCCAGCCTGGGCGACAGAGCGAGACTCCGTCTCAAAAAAAAAAAAAAAAAATACAAAATTAGCACTAAAAATACAAAATTAGCCAGGTGTGGTGGCACAAGCCTGTGATCCCAGCTACTTGGGAGGCTGAGGCAGGAGAATTGCTTGAACCTGGGACGCGAAGGTTGCAGTGAGCCGAGATTGTGCCATTGCACTCCAGCCTGGGCAACAAGAGCAAAAATTCCGTCTCAAAAAGTAAAATAAAAAGAAAGCCGGTTGCAGTGGCTCACACCTGTAATCCCAGCACTCTGGGAGTCCGAGGCGGGCAGATCATGAGGTCAGGAGATCGAGACCATCCTGGCTAACACGGTGAAACCCCATCCCTACTAAAAATACAAAAAAATTAGCCAGGTATGGTGGTGGGCGCCTGTAGTCCCAGTCACTCAGGAGGCTGAGGCAGGAGAATGGTGTGAACCTGGGAGGCAGAGCTTCCAGTGAGCCGAGATCGCGCCACTGCACTCTAGCCTGGGTGACAGAGCAAGACTCCGTCTCAAAAAGATAAATAAAATAAAATAAAATAAAATGAATAAAATGGATGAGTTTAATGGCACGTAAAACTTCAATAGAGCTATTTCAAAAATGAGTTGACTGATGGACAGATAAATGATGAAGCAAATGCAGCAACAGATTAGCAATTACATAATCTAGATGGTACAGTATATGAATGTCCACTGTACAATTATTCAAAGCTCTTTAAAATTTTTTATAATAAAAGGGCGGAAAGTTTGTCAAATTTAATTCAATGGCAATCACTCACATTATCAAATGTCACAATATACGAAGGGTTGACCCTCACATTACTGCATCAGATAGTATACTTTGACTTTTTATTTACAATCCTCAGAATAACAAATTCTGCTATACAGTTTTAACACAGTTTTCACCAAGGTTAACTGACCATATACACTATAAAGTACAGTCTAATAGTGCTAGTATAAAGTCATTTCCATATAGACCTATAATGCTGATAACTTTACCATATTCTTTGGCTTTCTTTTTTTTCCTCTTTTTTTTTGAGATGGAGTTTTGCTCTTGTTGCCCAGGCTGGAGTGCAATGGCGCGATGTCAGCTCACCGCAACCTCCACCTCCCAGGTTCAAGCGATTCTCCTGCCTCAGCCTCTGAGTAGCTGGGATTATAGGCATACGCTACACAACACCCAGCTAATTTTGTATTTTTAGTAGAGATGGGGTCTCTCCATTTTGGTCAGGCTGGTCTCAAACTCCCGACCTCAGGTGATCCCCCCACCTCAGCCTCCCAAAGAGCTGGGATTACAGGCATGAGCCACCATGTGCAGCTTTCTCTGGCTTTCTTGATCTCCCTGACCAAGGCTTCTGAGTATTCCACTGGATGTTCTGCTCCCATTCAGTCAGCTCCTTAAATATCACTTTTCCACAGGCACAGCTTTTAGGCCTGCCTTCTCACTCCCCGGACTATCTTTGGGCAATCACATTTGTGCCTGCCCCTTAGTATGAACATTAGCTCCAAAGATAAGAACTCTCTCATTTTACCGGAAGCTAGGGAAGGAAAGTGTATGAGCAAGGTAGAGAAGTGGGGGCAAGCAAAAAGTTTATTGAACAGTGAAGGGTACCCTCAAGTTTCTGGGTAGTCCAGAGAAGGTTTTCACAGAGTCAAAGATGGGGTCTGAGCAGAGACTAAGTGCAGCCCATCTTCCCACTTTCCCTGAGTCCTCCAAATCTGCACCACAATGGGTGAGATGCTACTGGGGAGCTCTCTTTCCAGCTTGAAGTGAGTTCTCTCTCCTCTGTTCTCATTTACCCTACACACTGCTCTGCGTTACCCGTAGCCCTCAATCCAATATGGCTATGTTTTGCCATTGCATTTACAATGTCAATACTCTCAGATGGCTTCCAGATCTTTATTTCAGAAAGCATGTGCTACACGCATGTCAAAAAGGACTTTGTTTATGGTCATTTGTATTTTCCAAAGGTCATGAGCAAACACCTTCTGTCATGCTCTATAGTCTGTTTTTGACTGAAACTCTAAAATGCATATACTATAGAGGATGACAGAATGTGTTTGTTCATGACCTTTGGAAAATACTATCTGACACAGGCCCTCAAAACATGTTCAGTAGTTACCACTTGGTTACACTGGCCTGGAAACCTAGAGTAGACAGCTGCTTGGGAGTCAAGTTCTCCTTTCTGCTTTTTAAATGAAGAACATAGTAAATGTGTCACACAATTCTATGCCTGCTTCACAAGCAGGGCTGAGGAATGGAGGATGAAGACCAGGGGGAAATCCAGGCTGTGGGCCAATAATGCTAAGATTTTCTCACAGAGATGTAATGAAGAGAATACGAATGATTTAGTCGCTGTTACTGACATGGTTAGCAGCGTGCAAATCTACAATTTCAGCATTTTGTTCTGGAGGCACTTTCTTCCACAGTCTAAAGGTGTTAGAGACTACAGAACTGAAATCAAACTGTCAGCTTAGAATGGAGACTACTTTATTAAGATAAAACTTTGAATCTCTGTGTCCTCTGACCCACTTGCTACAAGGAGACGGCTGCAGGGTTTCAGGATCTTAAGTAAGGCAACTCCAATAGCAATTTGCTTGTGGGCTTAGACTAGCAATTCTGTGACTTGCTGCCCGACTTCTGTTTCAACTTTATTCACTGCAAGCAGATTGTGATATCATTTTTCAGATCACAAATCCCAAGTCCACCTGAAGTTTGTTAATAACAGCCACAATTTATTTTCCAATTTCTACCAAGTCCCTTCCCCTCCACCGCATTCAAGCAAGTCTCTATCAGAAGCTTAAATTAGTCACTGGAACAAACATTTGAGTGCCCTGACCACAAAGAACTTAAAATATCAGAGAGAGATAAATTCCTGCTACTGAAGGAAACGGTAAGCACATATGACATTTAGGACCCTTTCTAGTACACAACCAATATCTATTTTCAGAAAAAATGTTTTGCAAGTTCCAGGAAATTTAACAGTTATTATTTGACACCCCAGAGCACTTGGATAGTGCATGTTTATTATTCAAAATAGTGCACAGAACATACTAATTTTATATACGGATCAAGGCACATGCTAAAATAGCCCCTGCTCCTGACAATAGTTGCCCAAGGATATCCATGAACATGATCAGTTGCTTCTTTATCTTTTTAGTCTTCTCTAGCTGGTTCAAGCTCTCCAGCCCTCAAGGACAAGTTAACAACATAGCTTGCAAATAGACTTTTCCCCCAGAAAAAAGAAATCCAGCAGCCCACCAAAACTGTCACCAGCCCTTCCCACACTTACCAGTGCCATAGGGAGGATGCAGCTGATGGCAGTGAGCATCAACGGCCTGAAAAAATACAGGTGGTAGTTTCAATTTTTATTTAAAATTCTTACTTGCCAACTGCCTGAAATCTTTTAAGGCTACATGAATGGGTCTTCATGCCTCAGCCTGCCATTTCGTGGTCCAATCACTTTTGTTAACAAACACTAGTGGTCACTCATTAAAAAGCAGAAATGAAGATAGGGAGTGAACTGTGGGCCAGCTTCTGGGCCTGGGCTAGAATGGGACATGATATAGGAAAATCAGCCTAAAGAGATCAAGACGGATGGATATGGGTCTGGGGGCGGGGGGCAAGGGATGATGTGGAGGGAGGCAAGAAAGTACTAAAGGGACAAGAGGAAGAAAGAAGGTTAAAGCACAAAGATAAAGCAGTAAGTAAACACCAGCCTACAATGGGGCAAAATTAGCATCAGTAGTGGTGGTGGTAGTCAGTCTCATAGGGCTTCTGACCCTAAACCAGGCTCACCCCTGAAGTCTAATTTAAGTGGTAGGATTTCATTTCTCCCATACTTCACACCTAAATATCCTCAGCCTCTAAAAGGCCCACTCTCTGGCACCTGATCCTAATTTTGCCCATTCCACTTTTCTTTACAGGGACATGGAAGGAGGGCTGACTTGTAACTGAAGTACCCAAATGTTATATATGTTTTTAAATCTGATTAATAAACACAAATTTGAAGACTTCTCACCAGCCTAACCTTGATTCAGTCCTAACTGCTGTGGACTCTAATAATCAAAATCAATACTAAAAAAACCAAAGACCTCACTCAATATAAGGTTATTTATACAAAATATAATAATGTAAAAATATTAAAGTAATCACTCCTTGACCGTAAGGGTATATATTTTAATTACAAAAAATTTCAAACATCTACCAAAGTGAAGAGTATAATGAAACCCATTACCCAGCTGGTGGCCAGACCCACTATGCCTCCATTCCAGCCCTCCCCTCCTCCCTCCAGATTATTGTGAAGTTAATCCCAGCCAGCATATCTTTTAGGGTGCATTTAATGGAAACTTTTTGAGAAGTACTTAGTACAAAGGGCTGGTTATTGCCCCTTCTAGAACTCTAACAGACTTCCAGGGGAATGCCACATAGGAAGGTTATGTCCAGCAAACCCAACCAAAAGAAATGCAGATAGGAGGTGACATCAAATGAGCTGCACAGAGTAGGGCTAAAAGCTGTGCCCATTCCTGCAGCCACAGCCCATCCTGTCCAAAAATTACTTGAAACAATGCTCTTTCTCAGCTACTGCTACTGTGAGAAGGCAAAGAGAGGGAATATCAAATAACCAGCTAGGTAGTAATATCCAAGTACTACCAATAAGATGGTAGTACCATCTTCTCCAAAAGGAGGGCACTTCAGAGGCCAGTGTATCTTAATGAAAAAGCCAGATTCCAACAGCATGTTTCAATGACAGAGCTGGTACCTCATCGACTGCTTTCCTTAGCTACCCCTTTATGCTAGAAACATATAACCTTATTTTTATAACCTTTCTGTTTATATAAAACTACATAAATAGGAATAGAATGAAAGCCCATTGAGGGCAGAAATTTTTTTGACTGATTCCTTCTCTCCACACCTAAGAACCTGGAACAATACTTGTGTTAGCATTAGGTCCCATACGCCAACACCACTCTCTGCCTGTCTCCGGTGGTCCAGACTTGTCACCACACCCACATCCTCCGCAAGAGCGTATGAAGGTGCCAAGGCCTCCCAAGCCCTCAGGGATGCACAGGGATACAGGAGAGGCCAGACACAGCTTCTCTGAGACAGGTTTTAAAAAGTTGGAGGGCTTAGCAGTCTCTCGAGGGTTGCAAGAAGGGCGGAGATGCTGACAATAGGTTGGAGGAGGCTAAAATCAGGTATATGAGTTAGGGAGAGGAACAATAAGGAGATCAGGCTGGAGCCTGGAGAATCCACTTTAAATTTTTCAACAGAGCAAAATAATCAAAGTGGTGCTTTTAGCGGATGTATCAGAAAAATAAAAAGTGGAAGTAAAGGAGGGGGTAGATATTAAAGGCAGAGAGATCTTTAAGTTATTTGAAAAAGAAGAGATCAGCTGGGTGCACTGGCTCACACCTGCAATCCCAGCACTTTGGGAGGCCAGGGCAGGTGAATCTCCTGAGGTCAGGAATTCAAGACCAGCCTGGCCAACATGGTGAAACTCCATACCTACTAAAAATACAAAAATTAGGGTCAGGCATGGTGACTTACGCCTGTAATCCCAGCACTTTGGGAGGCTGAGGCGGGCAGATCACCTGAGGTCAGGAATTCGAGACCAGCCTGACCAACATGGAGAAACCTCATCTCTACTAAAAACACAAAATTAGCTGTGCGTGGTGGCACGTGCCTGTAATCCCAGTTACTTGGGAGGCTGAGGCAGGAGAATGGCTTGAACCTGGGAGGCGGAGGTTGCAGTGAGCCAAGATTGTGCCACTGCACTCCAGCCTGGGCAACAAGAGCAAAACTCCATCTCAAAAAAAAAAATTAGCTGGGCATGGTGGCAGGCGCCTGTAATCCCACCTACTCGAACTCCTGACCTCAAGTGATCTGCCCACCTCGGCCTCCCAAAGTGCTGGGATTACAGGAGTGAGCCACCGCATCCGGACTTGGCTCAATTGCGCACACTCTCTCTCTCTTTTTTTAAAATCTCAGCTTACCACAACCTCCACCTCCCGGGTTCAAGCGATTCTCCTGCCTCAGCCTCCCGAGTAGCTGGGATTACAGATGTGTGCCACCACACCCAGCTGCATTTTTTTTTTTTTTTTGAGAAGGAGTCTCACTCTGTCGCCCAGGCTGGAGCGCAGTGGTGCGATCTCGGCTCACTGCAAGCTCCACCTCCTGGGTTCACGCCATTCTCCTGCCTCAGCCTCCAGAGTAGCTGGGACTACAGATGCCCGCCACCATGCCCAGAGAATTTTTTGTATTTTTAGTAGAGACGGGGTTTCACCATGTTGGCCAAGCTGGTCTCTAACACCTGCCTCGGCCTCCCATAGTGCGGAGATTACAGGTGTGAGCCACTGCGTCCAGCCCGGATTTCTTTTTGAGGTAACGAAATGTTCTGGAACAAGATGAAGATGATGGTTGCATAACATTGTGAATGTACTAAATGCCACTGAATTGTATACTTTAAATGGTTAGTTTTAGGTTATGTGACTATTACTTCAAAAAAAAAATTTTTTTTGAGATGGAGTCTCTGTCAGTCAGGCTGGAGCATAGTAGCACGATCTTGGCTCACTGCAAGCTCCACCTCCCAGGTTCATGCCATTCTCCTGCCTCAGCCTCCCGAGTAGCTGGGACTACAGAAGCCCGCCACCATGCCCAGCTAATTTTTTTGTATTTTTAGTAGAGACGGGGTTTCACCGTGTTAGCCAGGATGGTCTCGAACCCAGCCCGGATTTCTTTTGAGGGAATCTAAATGTTCTGGAACAAGATGAAGATGATGGTTGCATAACATTGTGGAATGTACTAATGCCACTGAATTGTATACTTTAAATGGTTAGTTTAGGTTATGTGATCATTACTCAAAAAAAAAAATTCTTTTGAGATGGAGTCTCTGTCAGTCAGGCTGAGCATAGTAGCACGATCTTGGCTCACTGCAAGCTCCACCTCCCAGGTCTGCTACCTCCTGCTCCCAGCCTCCCGAGTAGCTGGGACTACAGAAGCCCGCCACCATGCCCAGCTAATTTTTTTGTATTTTAGTAGAGACGGGGTTTCACCACCGTGTTAGCCAGGATGGTCTCGATCTCCTGACCCAGTGATCCGCCCGCCTCGGCCTCCCAAAGTGCTGGGATTACAGGCGCTTGAGCCACCGCGCCTGGCCTATTACTTCAAATTTTTTTTTTTTTTTTTGAGACTTGAGTCTCGCTTCTCTGTGGCCGCCCGGGCTGGAGTGCAGTGGCTAATCTCAGCTCACCGCAAGCTCCGCCTCCCGGTTTATGCCATTCTTCCTGCCTCAGCCTCCCGAGTGGCTGGGACTACAGGCGCCCACCACCTCGCCTGCCTCGGCTAGTTTTTTTGTATTTTTAGTAGAGACGGGGTTTCACCGTGTTAGCCAGATGGTCTCGATCTCTTGACCTCGTGATCCGCCTCTGCCTCGGCCTCCCAAAGTGCTGGGATTACAGGCTTGAGCCACCGCGCCCGGCCTACTTCAAATTTTTAAAGGGAAGAGGGGTCAGGAAAATGAATCCTAAGCTCTGTGTACACAAACAGAACATGTCATTTTAGGGTGATCGACGAGAGATAGCTATTACTCCAGACTCAAGGGCCCCCAGATGATAAATGAGATCAGCCAACTCTCACACTCTAAGGGTCCTATTTCTTTCCAGTTTATCTCATTTCTTAAAAATAAGGGTTTTGGCCAGGCACCCCTGTAATCCCAGTACTTTGGGAGGCCAAGGCAGGCGGGTCACCTGAGGTCTGGAGTTCAAGACCAGCCTGGCCAACATGGTGAAACCCCATCTCTACGAAGAATACAAAAATCAGCCGGGTGTGGTGGAGCATGCCTGTAGTCCCAGCTACTCAGGAGGCTGAGGCAGGAGAATTGCTTGAACCTGGGAAGCAGAGGTTGCAATGAGCTGAGATCACACCACTGCACTCCACCCTGGGGGACGAGCAACACTCTGTCTTAAAAAATTAAATAAATAAGTTTCTTCTGTTTTTATGTAGGGGTTTGTTTTTTTTTTGTCTAAAGACTCAGTGGGGACAGGGATAACTAGTCTATATACAGCTTTTTTATTAATCCCCCCATTTGCAGCACACTTATCTCTTCCAGCATTCATCAGTCATTTCAGAGTCCATGGTCTTTTCAAAATTTGGACAAACTGGTTCACATTTTGCAATGATGTCCCTATACAACACCCCACTCCAACCCATTCTGTTTGTTAGTATTAATTTACATGTGCCTTTACTTTCATTTTCATGGTATTTAAAAATGGAAGGGCACTCCCAAATTTACTTTGTCCCCTTTAATAATCTCTCTCCTCCTGGTCTCTTTGGTCCT